TGGTGTTTTATCACAAACACTCTTTGTTGGACACCTGTACAAAATATACACAGCAGTAGAAACAGCTTCTGCCCAGAATTCTCTAGGCATTTGTTTTGCCTTTAGCATGCATCTCACCATATCCATGATTGTTCTGTTCTTCCTTTTTGCTACTCCATTTTGTTGAGGAGTGTATCTGGTTGTCATTTGATGCTGAATTCCATGGTGGTCAAAGAAATCTTCACAAGCAAGGTATTCTTGGCCTCTATCTGTCCTCAATGCTTTAATCTTGTAGTCACTTTGTTTCTCCACAAATGCCTTAAATGACTTAAAGGCATCACAAGCTTCTGATTTCTGTTTCAATAAATACACCCAAGCTTTTCTGCTAAAGTCATCAATAAAAGTAATGAAATACCTGCTACCGCCATGTGATGGTATCTCAACCATGCATAAATCTGAATGCACAATCTCCAATGGCTTTCTTGCTCTCCAGGACTTTCCAGTTGGAAAGGATTCTCTGTGTTTCTTTCCAATTTCACAAGTCTCACATATACCTTCAGGAATGTTTATAACAGGCAAACCAGATACATACTCTTTTCTAGATAAAAAATTTAATCCAGAAAAGTGATAATGTCCAAAACGCATGTGCCACAGCCAATCATCATTTTGTATAATGGAACTCAAGCAAGGAATTTTATCGTGTTGAACATTCAAAGGGAATAGTCGATTAGGAGTCATTTTTACCTTGGCAATGAATCTCCTATTTTTGTCAATCAACATACAGTAGCCATCATGAATCTGCATGTTGTAGCCTTTCTCTGATAATTGTCCCATGCTCAACAGGTTATGATGAAGACCAGGAGCATAGAAAACATCAGAGATGAAATTTTGAGAACCGTCCTTCAATCTAATTGCAACTCGACCTTTTCCCAAAATCGGAATGTTAGAGTTATTTTCGAATTTCACAGTAGATTTTACCGTTTCATCTAGTGAGAAAAATAACTCTTTTTTCCCACACATGTGGTTGCTGCAGCCAGTATCTAGGTACCAAATATCTCCATCGCCTGAAAAATTATTTGCTACTAGGAGTAAGGTTTGTGGATTATCAGAACTCTCACCAGTATGCTTATATTGATTTTCTGCTATATTTTCTTGTTGTTTGTATCTACAATCTGCAGCTTTGTGCCCGAACTTTCCACAGTGGTAGCAATTGAAATTTTTCCTCTCCTGGTTGGTGAAGCTACATTTTCCTCTTCCACGGTTGGTAGATCTAACATTGTGTCCACCTCTTCCTTGATTAGGTGGCCTAAAAATTTTGTCTCTCCATTGTTGACTAAAATTACAACGACCTCTTCCTCTGAAACTACCATGACCTCTACCTCTGAAATTTATATTTTCACCTTCACGACCTCTAATGTCTTCACTTCGGCTGGGTTCTGCTATGTTGGTAAAATTTACCTGGCTTTTTAATGCTTCTTCATTTCCTTTTTCAGTTTTCTCCATGATTCTGCTCACATGGCTTTCAATGCTACCTTGCAATTCTGCAACTGTCATGATGTCTGTGTCGTGGGACTCGATTATTGTAGTCACCACATGATCAAACTTCATCGGCATGGTGCGTAGAATTTTCTCCACCACCTTGCTTTCAAGGATGTCTTCTCCATACACCCTCATCTTATTGACAAGATTTGTTACCCGTGAAAAATATTGTTCCACTGTTTCTGAACTAGACATTTCATATCTTTCATATTCTCGACGCATGGATTGCAGTTTAGATTTCTGAGCTTTCTCTACTCCTTTGTATGATAGCTTCAAAATGTCTCACGCTTCTTTGGCTGTTTTGGCATTTGCGATTTTGCCAAAAATTGAATAATCTATACCTTGATGAATTTGTGATAGCGCCAACTGGTCCTTTCCTTTGAGTTGCATCATCTGCTCCTTGTTGTAAGCCTGGTTTAATAAAGCTCCAAATATTGTGAGCTTTCAAATGGGTGGACATCAACAATGCCCAATAATTATAATCTAGTTTCCCATCTAATTTGGGACCGGACCAGACAATATTGTAGTTTGTGGTCATCTTTCTCTCTCAAATAGACTAAAAATTTTGATAAAGTGATAACTCTCTTGTTCCTCACACACTCAAAAAAAAATTTAAATCTTTTCACTAACTCCCTCATAAACTCACAAAACCAATGCTGGATCTAACCAGTTCTGATACCAATTTGATATCAATGGGACATAATAAGTTTAAAACAACTCACACACAACAAAAGGAACAGAGGAGGAAAAACTGAATTCTTCACTTAATATATTTCATTTCCTAACATGATCAATAAAACAATACAACATATGGCCTTATATAGGCTTTACAAACTAATATAATATTATATTTAGGAAACTCATTTGCGAAAGAACGAGAAAGTTGGTATGCAAATTGGCTTTGTCCACCACAATTAATGGTGTCAAACTTTGCTACTGCAATTTCAATTTCGGATTTTCAGGTGCGGCAGCATGGCTTTGTAGGCGCCTACAATCTTGATTTAATCAATTCTGACACTAAGAGTATATTAGCCCATGCATATTGAGAGAAGACAAAACATGTCTAATTTGTGGCTTGGTATGTGCGAAGCTTGAAGACAAAATATGGTTCCAATGCAGCCACAGTTCGTTCTTCCAAAAGAACTTACGAAAACTGTTAAGGATTCTGTGAACACGCAAGGAACTTGAGATATTGATCATATCTAGACTTTGCTTCCTCAAGATATTTGGGTGTTTATAAAAGGTCTTTGTACTCCAAGTGAGCAAACTGAGGCTTATACTATAGATTGGAGTAAGTCTAATGATGAGACTTTCAATAACAAGACAACATATAATGTTATTCGGAGTCAACGTAATGATAATCCAGATCTTGTCTTTAAAAACATCTAGAGGTGGAAAGAACGGATTAGAGTCTTCCCAAGGAGGGTAGCCCATATAATAGCCTACTTACAAATGAGTGTAGAGTCAAACGGGGGTTGGCAGTGGATCAAACTTGTCCAGCTTGTATGCAAAAAACAGAGCGAAGGACATTCTACATGTTTTACGTGACTACACAGTAGTTAAGGGAGTTTGGTAAAAGATAAAAGAGGGAGCTTATGTGAAATTTTTTTAATGAGAGCTTGATCAACTAGTTACACTTTAATATATCTGCCTACTCTACTGTGTCACCAAATTGGAGTGTTATTTTTGTTGTTACTTCAGACACATTATGGAACTTATATTTCTGAACTCTGAAGTCCCTTCAACTCAAATAGTTGTTGAGATTCATTTGTGTGCATTAGAGATTATCAACAATAGGGGCAAATTGATAGAGCTACTCAGTCACCCACAAGTTTAGAGGAGACACATTCTTTTACTCAATGGCGTTTTCCCCCAAAAGGTTGTCTTAAATTGAATTGTGATGGTGCAGTCAAAAGAGGAAGTGCAACATCATGTGAGGATGTTAACTATGACCAGAGGGACAATTTTGTCGCTTCATTTTCATGCATGTTGGGATGCTGCTCTATAATGCAAGCAAAACTATGGGCTATTCATGGCTTGCACTTGATATGGGACAAAGGTCTTGGTGGAAGGATCTATGTCAAGAGTAACTCAACCTTAGTAGTTAAAATTATGATGCATCAATATAATACACGTATCGGATATGACACGTATCCAATACAATGATACAATTATTTTAAAATATATAGGATACGATATATGTAAGATACGTATTATCATATGTATCAATATTTATGTAATATAATAAATGTGTACTTGTAATTTTGATCAAAATTCATAAACATTAAATATATAATTGTTATTTTACAAATCTAAATTAAAAACATACTTATTATACATTACTAAAAGTAAATAAATTATAAATCATTTCATCATAAATTATTTTTTATTATTTATAAATAGAAATAATATTAGCAATTTCATTTCTTTCTTAAAATTATCAAATATAGAAGACAATTTTCATTTACTATTTATCAATGACCAATATTTCTCTGTTTCTACATTAAACATGTTTACATATCTTATTTAACTGTAATGGATATTTCATAATTTTTAAAAGTTTGGATACTTTATCAATATGTATCACCAATAAATATCGATAAAATATCTGAGTATTGGAATTGAATAAAATTATAATATTTTTAAAGGTTAAGATGCTTCACCGACATGAATCAGTGAAATATCCAAGAATATCATATCTGATACATATCAAATACGGATACGTGAAATAAAAATTGAAGTATCAATGTTTCACAAAGTTAAAATGAAGGATGTAGTGTCTCTCACCCTGTCACACATGCTACTAGCTAGTTGAAAGTGTGACAAGTATTTTGGGGCAATAGTGCTTTATATCCTATAGTCACATTTTCAAAGAGACCAATCAAGTGGCAGATGTTCTTACGAAATGAGAGTTCCGTCTTGAAGAAGAGATGATGGTCTTTGATAACCCTCTTTCTTATATTCAAATTCCTTTAGTTGCATATATGTCCTCTTTCTTTTGCTAGGGGGGTGTAGTTTGGACTTTTGGTCCCTTTGTTTACCTTGTTTATATACATGTATATATTATTTGGTTCATTGTAGTTTCGCTGCCCCACCACCCCTGTTGCGGATAAACCAATACGGCAACACGTACATAAAGCCCTATGAAAATTAAAGCCAACAATCACGGCATTCTCATTCTGGCCCAACCCAATATTAGGAGACATTAATCGTACTTCAAGTTCTCTGTTGACGGCCCAATCATCTGAACCCAACTTTTGGTTTGCATTCCCATCATTGGACAGTCCTTCAAAGAAACTTTTGATTTTAGTGCTCTATCAATCTTTCTCTCTACTCCGTTGAATAGAATGATAAGTTATGGTTAGTGGTGAGTTTTCCCTAATATTTCCAACCTCCGCTTACTTTTGTTTTATTCAATTTTATTTTTCTTTTTCACTAATTTTCTTTGTAATTTTAAAATAAGCTTTTTTGGAAAACAAGGATCAATGAAAAGATAAAAGTTCCTACCTACACCTTCCATTGACGGTTTTTATAGGCTCACATATATGTACATACATTGCAAAAAGGAGTAGAACGTTTACAGCCTTAAAGCTAAAGCCTAAAGGACTCTATACATGCATAACATCATACACATACTTATTGTAAAGAGATCGTCTTTCAGACCTGGATCCCAATCCTCTGTGCTACCTGCATCAGTAAAATATTCAAGTCATTTCGTGCATGGATAGATAGAAAGACCTCGTTTAGTTGGCATGAGAAAGATGGGAGATTTCAACATCACAGTGAACCGATTATAATACTGGTAAAAAGTTAAAAACAGCAAAAGATATATTCGTACGAGGTTAGCATTCTTCCGATCATGCTAATTACATTAAATTGCAAACTGCCACAATGTTGACTATTTCCTTTTATATTTCTTATTTTATTTTATTAGTTATATTTAAAAGAGTACCAATAAAGCATAGTATAACAGGGGAAACAGAAAAGAAAACGAAACGGATGATGTCTCTTTTCCCCTAGATGCTTTTGGATAACTAGGAAGATCACTATTGGGAATTTGGAATCTAAGGGGAAGGAGCAAAGGGCGTGTGGGGGATCAAACTCCCACCCAAAAGCAAGCACCTGAATCCTGATTTTAAATACCAAAGGAGGTACCTTCTTTGGGATGGATATTGATATTTTATTCTGCCCAAGTTATGATCACCTTATCTCCAATAAAGTTTCTGCATAGTACTAAAAAGAGGTAAATATTTTAGATACCTCCTTAAAGGAGTGAACATCGCTTCCCCAAAGCCAAGCATCACAACCTGCATCCCTGGCACCCCATATATCATTTCTGCGGTCATCCCCAACATGAACAGCTTCCTCAGGCTTTACATCCAATAGTTCACATGCTTTGAGAAATATAGTTGGATTTGGTTTCTCCGCTGCAACCTAATTGAAAAAAGCATAACCCATGCACACAAATTTTAGAGGAGAGAAGTTTATAAACCAACGATGGTGAAGGAAAATCATTTAGTATGAAACCTTTGATTAATGCGTGATAAACGTCACCAGTATGCCAATGCATGCATGCTCAAATGTATTTGAGATACAAGAACTTAACCATCTAAATAATTGTCAAGACTCAAGGATCTAAGAGGATAATTGCTAATTTTTGAAAGTTGACATAGGCAACAATAATACATGTCATAAAAATATGGTTTGTGCTAAAGCATTCATAAATACCATTAACTTTTAGCCATCAAATTTCCATTTCATTTTTTACCAAATTTATATAGCTTTGCCACATATGCATCCAATACTTGATATTATCTCCAAGGCTAAGTAATGTAATTTTTGTGTAGGTTCATTGTTTCAAATGCAAGCATTCTAATTCACCAAAAAAAAATGCAACCATTCTTGGTTCAATGGTGAAAAAGCTATGCAACATGATTCTGAAGCCCAGAATCATGTTGAGCTGCTTCCTTCACTAATGTGGTTGGGGAAGCTTGCTTCTAGAATTGACATGCTACAATATTAGCTTGACAGTGGACATATTTTTAGTTCTACTAGAATGATAATTTTAGTAATGAGATTATATAAATAAAGATTTCTGCACTTTCAATATCATTGATTTGTTTTCTTTATCATAGCACGTTCCTGCATGATGTGAATCAGTGAGACAATGAATGATTAAGGTTTGTTTCCACTGTTTCCTTTTCAAAAGATTTCTCACATTAATGAAGTATCTCCATTGTGAATGACATCAGTACAGTAAAATTGTGTGCATAAATGGATGGGAGACGAAGGAGGAGAGCATAATCTATAGTAAAACAAACTGATAAATCAAAAGGCTAAGAAGGAAAAGAGCAATTGGCTTACCTCAGCTGACACTGCCACAGCATCAAACCAACTGTCACAATTTAATGCCCGCAGGAGAGGTCTTAATCTAGTGTCAAAATTTGACACAACAGCTAATTTCACACCAGATTTTCTAAGAGCTCTGAATACTTCTTCTGCACCAGGATCATTGAGGTGCCATGCCTATATGGATGATAGACAGACAAAAATATCAAATATTACCCAATTTATTATTAAAAAAAAGTATAATACATTTTAAAAAATGGTAATTAAAAGCGATCTTACCTTGTCTGTCATATAATAGTTATACAGTTCTTCAAAGTACTGGGGATCTGAACAGCCGGTAGAATAACTAACTATATATTGCCAAAAGGGCCTACCATCATTAACATACCTGCAATGTAAAAGAAAACAAAGAATCTTAATTATACAAAACACAATAAGCAGTAAAGCGTCTCAATAGCAATGTGTGAGAGATTCCTTTTTTTTAGTCACAATCTTTTATTGTTGTTTAACACAGAGGCACAAAAAAGGAGGAGAAACATTTCATTACAAATTAAATTTACCCAAAACAGAGTGTCTTGACCTAAAGGCAAGTATTCTTAAGAGACAAATAGCAAAAGTGAATCCTCAATTTCATCACTTCACATTGTCAACATTAAAACCTCCAATTTTGAAGGTAGACACATAAACAAGGAAAATTCCAATCCCATAAAGAAAGCCATTGTTGAAAATTGAGAAAGCAAGAAATTGATAAGCATAAATGAATGAATAACTTTTGCCAAGAGAGACTTAAAAAGCAAAAGCAGAAACGAACCTGAGACGAGATTTCCCCCAAGGCTGGCTGTACGCTGTTCTGTATCTGTAGAGTATCTCTTCCTCCGAATACGCCACACCGTACTTCTCCCCAATCGTTCTATATATCTGAGAAAAGAAACGGTGCCGTTTGAGTAACAGAATGTGCCGTTAAGATAACAGAATCAGTTAGGCGTACCTGAGCCATGGGCTGGGAAGGGAGGACGAGTGTGCCAACGGCGTCGACGAGGAGGGCCTTGTGCGTGATCTGTCCGTACAGGGAGCGCCGGTAGTCGGCGTAGTCCTTCACCTCCGTGCTCTCCGACTCCGCCACCGCAGCCGAGGCGGAGGAGTACGCCGGCCACCGCCAGCGCCGGAGGGGAACCGCGAGTCTCGAATTCGAACCAAGAATCCTAGCAGCGATTAGAGCCATGTTTTGGTCTCTTCACATTGGAAAGCAACAACAACAACAAGAATCAAAGAAAGGGTCTGAGTGAGAGAATTGAGAAATGAGAACAATACAAACTGAGGAAGTGGGAACCAATGAAACTTTTTGGATGTAGCTTAAATAACAATTAATACCAACAAGACTAGTTCAAGAGTAAGGTTAACAAAGCCCCTGCATTAAGTTCCTTAAAAAATTTATTTTATATTAATATTTATATAATTTTTTAAGACTATATAACTTAAAAGTCACCTTTTACATTTTTAATAATCGTTTATCTCTAAAAAATATATAAATATAATTTTTTTAAGTGCCTGTCTTTAAAGATTTTTATTTTTTTTAATCAAAATATATTATTATTAATTTTTAAAAACTTCATTTTAAAATTTATTTTATACCTAATAATATATGTTGGGTTGGCCTGGCTACCAATTACACCTTCTTCACTATATATAGGACTCTTGCCCCGTTTTATAACATATAATTGAAATTGTCAATTGGATTAATTATTTGTTTTTTAAAATACACTTACTCAATTAATAGACAAAAAATAATAAATATTTTAAATTAATGGGACAACAAATTTCTCTCTTATTAGGATCATTGAAGATGAATAAATATATATAACTCACCCACCAATTTTGACATTATTATCTTTCCAAATATTAATTAATTATATGATAAGTAATGAAGTGAAAAAATAAAAATGTAAATTTAAGAAATATTAAAGGTAATTTTAGAAAAGTAATTTAAATTATTGACAAATTTAATATTTTAACTAAATTAACTAATTTTCTCAAAGAGAATAATTTCATCAAAAGGATTACAAAAGTAATAGTATTTATCAACTTCATGGAACTGGTCAATTAGACATTAATTCTCCTTTCCTAATGTGTACACATCATAAAATATTCATATTCTCATGTTAATTGTTATTATAAACTTGTAATGGAGTAATCAAAGGGTCAATTTTTTAAATGAATTTTTTTTTATTGTGAGAGATATTTTTAGTCCACTTACTCAAAAACTAATCTCACTTGTAATATTGTAATCTCAAAGAGTTTTAACATTTGATAAAGATCGAATAGGGAATTATTACAAAATAGATCATCCATATAAGGTATGAGCATGTGACATATATTATGTCCAAAAAAAATTTGTTTATTTAATGAATTATAAATATTTTTTACACTAAATTTGTAACAACTTGACAAATTACTATACTTAGGTTCAGCTACTTTGCAACAAATAATAGACAACAAACACCTAGCCTAGGGTTATTCTATAACAATGAACAATCTCATGCATATAGGTATATCTAAGGAAAAGAAATAACATGATTAAATCATGTACACATATATTACATACACCAAGAGTAAATACCTTGAATACAAAATAAAATCTTAAATCGTCAGTCTAACGTCTATACAAGACATGACTTCATTAGAGTAGTCATCAACAAAATCAAGTCACCATTAGCGTAACTCACCACCAACGACACAAGTCGTCCTACTAATTTTGTCTTACTCTTATAACAATTATGATCATCATTATTTCAACCACAAGAAAATACAAGATAAGTTTGTGAATAGAAATTTACATATATACACAACATTAATATCAGCAAGAACACCTTTAATCCATACAACTTATTTATCACCCATCAACTATGAAACAACTTTAATCAACGAGTTTTCAACATGCATCTCATGTCCAATGCCACTCATAGGATGTTCGATGCCATCAAGGTAGAGGGCTCCCTATTTCGCCCATGGTAGGTGTCCTTCAACTCGTGCCCGATGTGAGTTAAGCAAAAATAACTTCATTTACAATATGCAACCACTTTAGAGCAAGAATCATCATATTCTTCTTATACAAAATCTCCATGATACCACAATTCATAAATCACCAACATATGAGTTCAAACCATAAATACACAATATTTAAAGATTTTAAACAACAATCATAATGAAGCAATTGAAGAAATCCAATCACAAGCTTCTTTTATCTTTTGAAGAACCAAATCAACAAGAGGAGAAGAGAAAGGCTAACTTCGTACAAATTCCAATTTGAAATGCCAACCCAAAACTTGAATTTTTAGCTATTTGAATGAATCAACTAAAAGAAGGAAAATAAGATATTTAGAAAATGTGAACAAACATTTTTTAGTTTATGAGAGTTTCTCTTTAATTCCTATATAGAGTTTCTCAAAAACAAAAATTATGAGGTTCGAAACTTCATAAAATCATTTTATACCTTCATAAACAGACTCCATTTATCTCTTATTTAGCTATCTAGAGACTAATTTACTATTAGAATTCCTTGACATGAAGTTCTTAACGGCAACTAACATCTAAACAACAAAATTAATATAATTAATAAAATAATTGTAAAATTAATAGTGTTAAAAAATTACAAATAAATTAAAAAAATAGCATTTAATTCATCAAATTATAGTTATATGTTACAAGTTTTAATAAGAAATGATCTTATAATAAATCAAATCAAGTTTAAAATCATTTTTTTTAAATAGTCTATACATTTTTTTTAAATTATGTTATTGGTATGAAGTATTAATTAATAATCTCGAGAACTAATTTAAAAAAAAAAAAAAAAAACTTGTATGATCCACTTTTTGTAAGTTTTTTTCTTTTAATATTTTTTTTTTCATATATAAGACCCAAATTCAATGATTTATTTTAAAAAAATAATTCTAATATTAATCAAATCAACGACATGCATTAATTCTATAATGAATTTTTATATAGTGGTTTGATAATAAAAAAATAACTGTATATCATAAATTTATTAACTTTCTTAAAAACTACTTACTAATCGTAATTATATTTGATTAATATAAAAATGTTTTACATCATAATCTGGCCGGCCTCTTCTTGTATTGTTGTACGGTATTTTGTTAAATTATTTCACTGATTTTACATTTATTTTTAGTTACATTAATTGTACTTATTCTGAACTGAAAGTTTTGGATACGCGCGGTCCCAAAGTTTCGTAAAAAGCAGCAAAAAAAGAAAATACATCGATGGAGGTGGACTGTACCAAATCATGTGGTTCAGTAACCGCACCTAAATTACTAACAAATAACAATCCATCATTTATGAGATTGTTTAAGAAATATAATAATCTTCTATTTCATTTTTTTTAATTGTTTGTAATATATATATATATATCGAAACAATATTTTAAATTTGTAAATAATTCTTTATGAAAAATAATTATCTTTTAAGAAGTTGAAATTTATAAAATTTATGATTATTTTTCAATAACTTATTTTTTAAAGCTAATTTACTGTTTTTTTCCTATTGTCTTCAAAAGGAGTAGGTGCAATTAATAAAAGTGAGGATTTGAGTTGAATTTTGTTATTTATACTGTATAATATTGTACTATACAACATATATCTCATGTATTTATATCTAATATCTTTTTGTTAATTAATTTGTTGTATAAGCTATCATATAAATAATATTTATTAATTTCACTTGGACAATCATTGCGTAAAATAATACTATAACAAAAACTTTTGGCACGAAGTCTAAACGTCCTCTAGTCGATATAAATAATTGACATTGGTATGTGTGGGTGTAACTAACTATGCATACACACACCAAAGACAAAATTTTATTAATAAATATCAAACATACTTTAAAAACAAAAATAACATAAATACTCATACAGGCATAGGACATCATGAAGTCCAACATAGTTATCAAATCCTTGTCAGCAGAAGTCATAAAATTCATCGAAATCCATGCACGTGAGACCCACTCCCCATGTTACAGCGTCTTCGCTCCTCGGATCCTTCACTCGCCAAAATCCTTTCGGCATTTTGTGATCAAATTCTATCGCAGATCGAGACACGTTACAGCGTGAGGGTCTCTTTCTGCTACACGTTACATTAATTACATGTTTATTATTTTTATCTCAACCCTTGATTTTGTTCTTAGTGAAGATTGTTTTGGTTGGGTTGCTCTCTTCTTTTCATTATTTATTTATTTATAGCAATGATTGGGTTGTGGAGTGAGAAGTGAGAACAACGCTTCATGTGGACAAGAGTGAGAGATTTATCATGAGTGCTGTGCTGGAATTTATGGAATATGGTATGGGGTGTGACATAGACAATAAAGTAACAAGAGATGTTTCATATAATTGCAACAAAACTTTCATCAATTTATACATGACCAGATCACAAATCCTTCATTTTACAATTTTCTGAGGATTGAAAGAAATTTTAGACCTTGTATTAAGTTTGTAGCAATTGTGGTAAAATGTGACTAAAACAAGCTGAGAAAAGAAAGCATAAGAATACAAGGTATATATGTAATGGATGTGCAAGAAACAGAAAGCATAGTGAATGGAGAAGTGGTGCATACTGCATATTATTATAAGTGAGTGTGCATTACGCATTTTGAAATGTTGTGGGGAATGGGATAAGGTTTTCGTCCACAAAATTTGAATGGCGGGCCCATTGAGGTAAACCCATCACCTCGCTCAGGAAAGATGGCCCAAGTAATCTAAATTACGATTTGCTGACTTTTTTCTATTATTTGGCGGAATCAATTTCAATTCTCAACACACAAATATTTCATCTAACTAAGTATGAATAATAAATTTAAATGTAGATATACGGGCATTTATTATCTGTGGACATGGTTATTGAAATTATTATTTGCATAAAGTTAAGTTTGAATACAAGTCGTTTTCAAAATTTTAAGATATTGTCATATAGGGGACAAAAACATTAATTTCTTGAAATATTAAGATTTATTCAATAGATTGAATTTTCTACATTCACGACCTAAGGATTGAATTTCTACCATATTTTTAATGAAAAACATTACAAGAACACGAATATGTTACTTAAATTTTACACATTGTCGTATCGAAAAGAAGCTTCAATATTTGCTTAAGCCTTAAACTCTATTACTTACTCTAACTGTTGGATACCTAGTTTCGTCAGAACATGCGTACTTTCCTAAGTCTAAGTTTGGTGTAGACGTGTTAACCCATTCATTTGTCATGTGAAATCACTATTAAAAATAAACATATACACAACAAGTGTTTACATTTGGTATAAGACTATAAGAGAGGCTAAGGCCCAAGGCTATGTTATTTCGATTTAAGGCATGTATAGGATTCAACAAGTGTTTACATTTTACAAACCTACATGAAAATAGGTTGGGTTCTCATGGCTACTTATAATTATAGATTAATTATTTTAAAATGATTGATAGTTACATTTAATTAGCTTTTACGCTAATTTACAAAAAACGTTCACTAAGTCCCTTCTCTAATCCTATCCATGTTAGGACAAATAAATTCATAATTTGACCTTACTCCTCTAGAAATTGATAGATCTAAGATTCAATCATTCAACCAGTTTCTTTGTACATATCACATCCTTATGTGCCACTAACCCAATTCGTTTGGGCTCAAAAGTCGTGAGTTAGAAGTTGGAACCTTTATGTCCACTCGTTTTCTTTTAGTTTTTATCAAACCACTTAGTTCATTCACTCACATCTTAAATTGATCTTTACTTACTTGATTTTTCATTATATTTCTATCTCGTTACTTTGTCAAGTTTTTTTTTTTTTTTGCGTTTAAAAATAATTTTTTATTTAATTATAGATATTTTATTTTCAATTTTAAATGCATTATCTCTTTTTAATTTATGCCACATAATACACCAGATATTCGTAAATTATCATGATTCACTTGTCAACCTCAAAAAAGAAACTAAATTATCATTCATTCTTTTAATCTGATCCATTTGTTTTAGCTTTCTTGTTCCTTTAACACACCCACATTTGCGTGGCTTGGATTAGCCAATTGACTTTTTAGAACAAACATGAATAGTGAAACGTCTACACAAAAACTCGAAGAAAGGAGAATTTATATTCTAACCCTCGCCACTATTTTCATACTTAAAATTTCTTAATATTCAAATAAGTTACTTCTAAATATTTTAAATGTATTTATTTTTAAAATTTAAAACATGAAGATAATAGTTAAAAGAAAACGGGGCCACGACTAGCAGACAAGGATCACTAAAGGCCATTAACCATGCTATGGGCCACAACTTGGTGAATGACAAAAATAAAATAATAATGTCATATAAACGACTAAGCCAAGACTATTAAACTTCAATTTCATTTTTTTTTTTTAAAGTAAGATTAGAAGAAATTTTATACAAATAGAATATTAAAAAATTACGTTTAATTATTTAGAAAAGATATAAGTATTTTTTTTAACTTTTATCATTTAAATGATATAATGATTCATTAAAAGTGAAAACCGGTTATATATTTCTTTTATAATATTTATAGATGTATAGATGTTAAATTTAAATCTTATATATAAAATAATGTAATTAAAAATTAAAAAATCGGTTCGTCCACTTTAAGTATTAACAAATGCGGTTATATTTTGTAAAAGATTATAAATCCGAACTTCGTTAGTCTTCGATTTCCGTTCCAAAATCTCCGCTTTTACATTTTCCGCCACAAATTCTTTGTGGAAGAGGCTCTTTGTTTATATATATATTACCAGTATGAGTGTATGTTTGTTTTTTATACGAGATTATAAATATTTTTTTTATAAAAACAATCTTATTTGATTCGTAAAAAAATCATACTATAATTAAATTAAGATCATTATAAACTATAAATTTTATTTTTAAATATTGAATGCTATACCTTGTTCAACGTTTATCTTCTTTATTTTATGTTCTTTGTGATTTGATCATTCATAAATTGATTTTTAAATTGAATAGTAATATGGAAATTCTTCTAAAGCTTGCAACCAAAATTAATTAAACACCTAGTAAACCTTATACCTAAGAATGAAATTTGATTTACCAGTCATTTTTTAATCTTTTCTCTTGATACAAGTTTGTTAAATAAATTTAGTTTTGTATCATTAAGCGATCAAGGTATGAGAACTTACATGAATTGATGTTGATAAATGAAGTATAACTTAGAAGAAAGTATCTTAATTTTTTTCTCTATAATTCTAATCCTTTTTTTATTATTATTATTAGAATTCATTAAAACTTCAATTGTTTCATTCAAAGACTTGAGAGTGCCCTACCCCTGCATTTTACTTCCATAACAGAAGGAGTTCACTTCACAATGATGCCCGTATCCATTTCCCTTTTTCTATACAATCAAGTAACAGCAAAGAGAAAGAAGAAAAAAAATTCAAATCCTTTTGCCTTGTTCTTTTGCATCAATGATATTATACTTAGCAACAAAAGGTGCATCTATAGATCCCACCCATAATATTCCATCTCTCTCCTCCACTTCACTAATAGACCTCCCTCTGTTCCCAATTTTGTCTTCAAAAATTTCTAATATATTACCCTGCTCACTTAGCCTAATTGCTAATCCAGTACTCCTTTTCAGCTTAGCCAAATATGAATAAGCTTTTGTAATGTCCAAAGGAAGCCTAAGCAAAACTTTTCCAATCCAAGGATATGATAGAATCCATTGGATAAGCTTTTCCCTTCTTGAGTAAATTCCCACCCAAAATCCCCCTCTTGGACTCCGTTTGATGTTGTCTGGGAAACCTGGTAAATCGGCAAAGACTTCCAAGGTTCCAATTTTTGGTGTTTCTAGCCAATACCTTAGAACTCTACAGGTTGTGGTCTCTATTATTAGAATATAGTCACCATCTTTGCTTAATGCTACTCCATTTGCAAACGATAGATTGTTTACAAGAATGCTAACTTTTTCACTTTGTGGTTCATATTTCATTAGCTTCCCCGTTTTTTCTCTGCTTAGGATCAAAGAGATGTAATTCCTGCAGTTTGCATTTGACAAATATTATTAAATCTTAATGAGAAAATACCATTGCATAAACCCTGGTCTCCATGCAAGTAACTGTAAGACCAATAGAAAAAGATAAAGATAGAGATTGAGAAATAAGTTGATTTCAAGGTCTCTTGGGATAAATTTCTCCGGAAATATTTTTAGGAGAAAAAAATAATTAAAAATTGAAATAAATCTTTTTACATATTAAAACAAGCTTAAATATAAGTTAAAAATAAAATTTTTAAAAAATTAATAAAAGAGAATTTTTACGAATTAGTTTATACATACACTAATTTTACATTACAAAAAAGTCCCTTTCATTTTTCTTCTTAATTTTCTATTTTAGAAGTGTTTTTAAGTAATTTTATTTGAAAATATTGATAATCTTATTTTTTTAATGTAAAAATGAGGATAAAGAAGTTTTCAATTAAAAATTCACTTTAATGTGGAATAAAATGATACTATAGTGAAAAAAGAAAAACGCAAAACGTCTTTTAACTTTTGGATTTCATTTGAATTTGCTAATGCCCATGTCCTATTTTGGAAAAGCACATGGATGATGACTAATAATTTGTGGCTTGAATTTTCATGATAGAACCATAAATTACGTTAATCCACCAGTCAATTAATAATTTGCCAATATGATGTGCCATAAAATATTATAATTTATTTTTAGAGTAAAGTTAAATTATGTGTGGCTAACAATGGAGTTGAGAGAGACATGGGAGATTATGAGTTTAGAATGAGAGGGGTATTAGGTTCATGAGTTACCTCCTTTGATGTTTTGAACTACTGCTGGTGAAGTACACTGCTCCAGTTCGTTGATCAACATCCAAGCCATTTGTAAATGCCAAGGGTTCACCTTTTACAGTTGATATGAGTCTTCTAGCAGTGCCACCATTGAGGCCAACAACAACTAAGCCTTTGTAAGCATCAGCGATGTAAAGGTCACTCGATGGAATGCTAAAGCATAACCCAAGTGGACGCCCACATATGTGCTCTTTCTTGGGATGCTCATCACATGCTCCTCCACATTCATCATCCCTCCCAAACATTAATAACAACCTTATCAACCTTCCCATAATGACAATTTTTTTTCGAGAGAATAAGCATATTTTATTGAAGACAATCTTACTTAAACACAAAAGACTTATTGTTAATGACAAAACTCTTTTGCCTCTGGATATTTAAAATAGTTACATAATGATCTGTTATTTGGTAATAATTATGTTTAGATCTAATTGTTTAGAAGGGTTATTAAGAATTTTTTTTATTTGAAAATACTTTTATTTTTAATAAAAAATTCAAAAATTCTTTTAAACTTGTATCTAAACAAATTCAATATATATTTTTTTAGTTATGCAATAATTTTACATAACTTTTTACAACACTATTTTGCTTTCAATTTTTCTCCGTCACATCATTTGTAATATCCCACACTTCTCCGTCTATCTCTCTAATATTTGTATAGAAAACACTGAAAATAAATTTTTTTTTCTCTATTTCCTGTATAAATATTTAAAAACAAGAATAAAATTGAAAACAAAGTATAAGTTTTGCAATTAAAAAAGAAAATAAGAAATAAAAACGCAAGTGAACAAACCCAATATTCTTTATTTTTGCAGAGGCCCTTTCTTTTATCCTTGGAATAGCCTGTGGAGCTAGAAAAATTGAATTAGACACGGTGCTTGGTTAATTTGTGGTTTTCAAGAACATCTCTAATGGTAAATACCAATATTTTCTGAACTCGTTTTTTTTTAATATTTTTTTATGTGAGCTGTTATGTCATATTAGTTTTAAGAACTTTAGCAAATTTTTATCTCAATAGTGTAACTCTTTAAGAACTTAGGGACCCATGTATTACCTCATATGTTTATATTTTAATGGTTTTTCCAAGAAATCATTTTTTAATGTCAATAACAGGTTCTTATAAAAGAATTCTTACATGAGATTTCCGCGTCATCTAACTCTAATGATGAAATTGTACAAAAATTGATGGAATACAAACAAGTCCTACATTGATAAAATAAAACAAGAAATAACAACTTATATAATACTAACATATTTCAATAATTGAGAAGCCTTTTAGGTGATGATCAAAAGCAAAACCGTGAGAGCTAAGGCCCAAAACGGATAATATCTCATCATTGTAAAATATGTTTGTTTAATAACCTTATAAAAATAACTTTCATAAAATATCTCCTCAAATAAATATCATGAAAGGTTATGTGAGATACAAACAAGTCTCTCATTGATAAAATAAAACAAGAAATAACAACAATTTATATAATACAAAAATACTTCAACTGATTGAGACAAGTCTCACATCGATAAAATAAGACAAGAAATAACAACTTATATAATACAAACATACTTCAATGGCAGGTGAGATACAAACAAGTCCCACATCGATAAAATAAGACAAGAAATAACAACTTATATAATACAAACATACTTCAATGATTGAGACAAGTCCTACAGCGATAGAATAAAACAAGAAATAACAATGGGCTAAAGTCCAAAACGGTAATAATCTTATAAAAATATCTTTCATAAAATATCCCCTCAAACAAATATCATAAAATAACCCATCAAAAACTAATTCTTAAATTTAAAAATTCCATAAGCAACTTCAGTTAGAGATATTATAACAAAAAAATAGAGACAAAGTTGAAATATAATTTCTTGTGATCTAGTTCCTCTAAAATGAAAAAATTACACTTTAAAAAATAAAGTAAAATAATAATAATTGATTAAAAAATTATTCGTTGATATTATGATTAATTTTAAATTTTATTTTACAAAAATTTGATTTTATCATTAATTTTATAATAAACAATCATAAGTACACCTTATTTTTTTAATTTACGATCCTTCACAAAAGTCAAATCTGATTTCTATATAATTTCTATTCTCGTTAATAAATACCCTGCAGAGATATAGAATAAATACCTCGCGGAGATATAGATAAATAGATAAGTAATATAATAAGAGAAAGCAATTATAGGAGTCACAACAGGATTTAAACCCATCATATACTCACACACAGAAAAATAAAAAGGACAAGATTGGGAAGAAAATTACTTACTAAATATGGATTCGAGCTTCAGTATCAGTATTTATCCGTAAAAAATTTGAGAAGGTACAAGTATTTTGTTTAATATCCAACTTACTCAGTACTTAAAGCATTAAATATATTACTTTTGAATTTTAAATTAAAAAATGTATATACTGATACAATATAGATTATGAATTAGGGATGGATGCATTCATATCACTCTGGGAGCAGTTGTTCCCACTAAAATTTTACACTTATTTATTTTTATATATATTATTTATTTTTTATAATATATAAAAATTATATTTTAATTTAAAATTTATTTATTTTTATATATATTATTTATTTTTTATAATATATAAAAATTATATTTTAATTTATTACAAAAAATTGTTAAATAATGACACATATTTTATAGAGATATAATACTTATTACTAAAATTGTTTTTATATATACAATAAATATAATATATGTTGAAATATTATTAAAAAGTGTAAATATAGATTATAATAACATTTTTTGTAAATGATTATATGTAACATTTTTTGTAATGATTATTTTTATATTTAATATGTTAAAATATATTAATATTGTATTTATATTTTATTTTATCATGTAATTTTTTATTTTATGACAAAATTGTCCTAACTTTTTATTATTATTGTTATTATTATGATAATATACTTTATTTTTTTACTAAAAATTTATTACTTCTTTATTCATTAAAGATGTCGTCATAATTTAATTTATAAATATAGGTTATTTTTAATTTTTATTTTAATTTTTAATCCTTTTTATTTTGTATATGTACATTGTGTGTTGGTAGAAGAGGAAATTAAGAAGAATGAGAGTAATTATCACACAAAATTTTTATTTATTTTTTACTTAAACATATTTAATAAAAAATAGGCGTTGTTCTCATAAAATACTTTTGTTTTAAATGAACGTAAAAATTTAGAAAAGATACAAAAAAAAATATATAATAATTATATTATCTTTATCTTAATAATTTATACCATTTTGTTCCTCTAAAATTAAATAAATCACTAAAAGTTACAACATCATACTTAAATATAATATTAGACAGAGAAAAAAATTTAACAATTGTCACTCTACTTATGAGAAAATTTTAATTTATAAAAAATAGGGATGTTAAATTTTTATCATAAAAATATACTTTTTAAAAAATTATTATATTTTTAAATTAATTATTGATAGTTAGTTTGATTTTTAAAATATTACGTAGATTATATTTATGAGAAAAAAATTTAATCACTTATACACTACTAATATAAAAAAATTTTACATTGACAACTAATTATATTTTTTAATAATTAGTTAATCACTAATAAGTATTTTTCACGTTGACCATGTGGTGGTGCGAGTTTCTACCCTAAAGTGGGAGTGGGAGTTGTTTGATTCGTGGAGAAGATTAAAGAGTTTGCAGAAGGCAGCACGTTTCATCTAAATACACTTTGCACATGCAGCGTGAATCATGAAGAGAAGAGAGAGGGAAAACGCACCTGTGCGAAGAAGTTGCGGAAAAGTTGAGCCAACGATTGAGAGCGCGGTGCCACTTGATGATTCGACCGTCGGAAACCCCCGTGTAAGGGCCCTCGCCGCGAGGATCGAAGGCCAAGCTCTCCGGCCCGACGGCGCCGTCAATCGGAACAGCCTCCAACTGCGGAGCCTCCTCCTCCGATGGCCCAAGGCCGCCGTTGTGCGCAATCCAAGCAATGACGACAACCGCCGCAAAGGACGCCGCGATGTGCAGTTGGGACCTCATCGAGTAATAATGCGAAAAAAGTGTCGTTTGGTTTCGTGCCAAATGATGTAATACTTATACCAATGCTTGCGCTGCGGAGTGCGGATTCTCACATATCCCTGGCTTTAATATCATATTTAACCATCTTTACATTATTACTATAAAAAAATTTTATACCGACAAATCATATTTTTTTAATAATATTATATTATTTTTTATTTAATTAAATAAAAATAAAATATTAAAAATATAATTAATTGTTAGTGTAAAAAATTTTATATTAGCAATGTATGAATGATTAACTCTTAATATTAATATAAAGATGTACTCAATATTTAGTTGAAAAAATAAAAATTCACATAAATTTAAATACTCATTATTTAAATTTTAAAAATATAATAATAATAAATCATATTTTATTGTTATCAGATGAATTATAAAAGTTATGCGGCCACCCAATGTTTTTCGAGAGTTGTCATGTCATGACATTTGACTTCCGCTTCACAGATGCATAGAGCCAAAATAAAATTATGGGAGAACTATGCAAGTTATTATTTCGCCCTTCAATTTCCAAGTTATAATTTATTATTCACTTAATTATCCTACCTTTACAAGAGTAGATACATAATTTTATCATATATTAAAATTTATTGGTATTTTATTAAAATATATTTTAATTAAAATTATGTAACATGTAACAAGTATTTAAATATTTAAGTCAATTTTTAATTTCAAGTTGATATAATTAATATTGTAATAATAAATATAGTTAAATATTTTTTTTTTATTAATACATCATTACTTATATTAATTTTATTGGATCTGAGTTCTTATACAAGTCTAATAATCCTATAATTATCTTTATAAAAAGTTTTACATAATTCATTAAATCTCAAGTTTTTCAATCATTCGCTATTATTTGAAGAGTGTTTAACTTTACTTTTGAGTTAAAGTCTTCTAGTCTATTTATAAAATATTTTGATTTGATTTTCATTCTCTGAAATATAAAATCAATATTTTTTCTAATAATAATTTTAAGATAGATAAAACAATATTTATTTTAAAGATTTGTTTTAAAATTTATAAATATCATATATTAACATAATATCATTAATATTTATGGATGACATTATAATGGTCACTTAAATTTTTAATAAATAAATAATTAATTAAAAATGATTACATAATAATAAAAACTAAAAATAATAATTTCAAATTAAGGACTAAAATTGAAGCTTGCTAATTTTGTAGGAAATTAAAAAATATTTCACCTTCTATTATTTTACATAATTGATATGGTGAATTTTCTCGCTCTATTTTTAAATTTGTATATTTTAGGTTTAAATAACCTTTTAGTCACTGTAAAATAGATTTTTTTTAAATCTAATCCTTTATTAAAATTCAATTTTTTCTTTTTAATAAAAAATTGTTTCATTTTTGTTTTTGTCATTGAATTGTCCGTTAAATCTAATGAAAAAAAGTTTAAATTTTTTTTATCAGGATAAGAAAAACAAAAAAAAAATTATAGAAACAAAAATAAATAAAATTTGAGAAGACCCAAATGAAACAACAACAAAAAATTTGAAAAGATCAAAATATAAATAACTAAAATGAAAAGGATTAAAATGAAACTAAATATTTATTTTAAGTGAAACTTAAATTTTTTAAATCTAATTTAATATGATTTAATTTATAAAATTTAAATATAATTTGAGTCTTATTTTAATATGATGGAAATAAATTTAATTTTGACTTAAACTTTAACGATTCGTGAACACTCTAGACTTAAGTATGATTGACGAAAACTAACTCGATGTCTTTATATTTGGAGTCAAGTTAATTTGACTTCCTGTCAAAGTCTTGGTTTTGTCAAGGGTTTAGATTCTAGTCATTTCAAGTTACTAACTTTTATTTTGTTAAAAAAATACATTTGATTTAAGTTATTAGGTAATAGATTAATTTAATTATTTATAATTAATTTATTGTTACATTATAACGAAGATAAACAAATGTATTTTTTCACTTTAATTAAATTATTATTGTATTTTTTAGAAATTGTATTTTATACTATTTATTCTATACATTAAATTGACTAATAATTATTTTTGACATTTATATTTTACTTCTATATATATATATATATAATGATTCTTAAATTTTGATTTTTTTTAAATGTCTCCACTAACTTAAGAACTTGGATCCGTTACTAGATAAGATATTATGTGATTTAAAAATACATATTTTTGGGTTGAATAAGGATGTATAATTCTTTTTATGAGCTCCATTTCTATAGAGATAAAATAGTATTTACGATTGTAACTTCATACTTAAGTCAAATATCAAATCTTAATCCTTTGATTAAGGAATTTGTATTATATAAAAAATTATTAAAGTATAAGATTTAATGTAAGTGTATTACACTATGAATCATAATTCATACATTTTATATATATATATATATATATATACATTTGCTTTGAACTCCAACAAAATAATTGACATTGAAATGAGTATAAAACTTAAATCTCATTAAAATAGTAAAATTCATAATAAATATTTTGATGAAAACAAGTATTCAGTTACAGATTTTTTATATACAAAAAAACTCTTTTGGTTTTAATTATATTGTATACATGTTAAATTAATTTATTTTCTTTTATTGATATATTATTTGATAAAGATTTATAATATGAAGTAAGTTTTGGCATTTTATAATCAAGTTCTAACAATTGAAAATTTTGAATGAGGATGAATTGAAAAAACACTTTAGTAATCTTGAACCAAATTTAAGTTAATTTTAGTGAGTATTTATTTGGTATTGATAGTTTTTTTTTTTCTCTCAAAATTGATCGCACGGAAACAATATTAACAAAAAAAAATAAAATTAATGTCATGTTAAAAGTATTAAATTATATTAAAAATATTATTTTAAAATGTAAAAAATGAATATAATATTTGTTTTATTAATGATTATTGTATTTTGTAAAGTATTAATAATTAATACCTCCTATCATATAATTTCAGTTTCATCCCTAAATTCAAGAATATAAATACTAAAATGATTATATCTGTAAATTGATTAATCAACTCTTATGTTATGTATAGGAACGGTACTTTTGTGTGTAAGTGTTTTTAAAAACTTCTATGTACTAATGGTATTGTTTTTAGTGAATAATATTTTAGAAATATTTTTAACTTCTTATCCAATTTAAATTTTATTTATTATATTTATTTATAAATTAAATTTTAATATTTTAAAAAATTATTAATAACATTTAGTCTTGAATTGTTTCATAATATTAATGATTTATAATAAATATAAATATAATTTATATATTTAAAAATATATATTTATACAAATTTTAAATATAATATATATTAAAATATAATATTTATTTTTATATAAATTATTATCAATTTTTTTAGCTATATATAATAAACATTAAAGTTTTTAAGTAATGGAAAAACTAAAATACTAGTAATATAGAATGCGGTTGGTGGTGTTTTCATGTTTTGATTTTTTATTGGGTTGTTACTTGTTAGTAGTCACTACTAGTCATGTTTGATAAGAGTCTTAACTAACAGAAATTAATATTTTGCGTACATGTCTCTACAATAATAGGTTTGTGAATTGCATGGATCCAACCAGCCGAGAAACTGATAACATGACAAATCAATGTAAGGAAACCACACAACAATTCAATTTGGCCCCACAACTAGTAGAATCATGTTATTTCCTCATTAATTTCCTGCCTTTGCCTCCATAGGAAGACAAATCACACAACACTATGATATAACGGACGATTGGTACATGCTAAAATTTTTTTTGTTTATTCATAAAAATTATAAAATCTCAAAATCATCATTCTTTAAAATGATGAAAATTTATTAGTTATAAATGTTTATGAAAATGTCTATAAATGTTAACTGAAACTCAATAAAAGTGTTTGTAATTAAATAATTAAATAAGGATAAAATATCTTTTTTACTACATTAAAACTTTATTTTTAACTCAAAAATGTTAGTTTCTCATCTCCACATGAAACAATTATGTGAAAACGTATGTAAGAATCATTTTCTGAAAATAATATTTCTTAAGAATATTACTTTTTAAATAACAAAAGAAACATGAAATTTCAATGGACGTGAAGATTTCTGTGTACCAAACAAACATCCCTTCAAACTAAACCAAACAAAAAATAGTTTATAAAAATGTCTCCCTCCCCTCCAACCAAACACCAAGCAAGTAGAACGTGTTGTTTTATTATAATGATCACCAAGTAAAAACTAGCCTCGAGAACCCCTCGAAGAAATTCAGAATTCTTAATTCTACATAATCTGCTTAAACAACTACATCTTATTTGGAAAAGGTGACCAAAACCAAATACCATCTTATCCACCATACACACTCATAAACCATAAATGCCGATGAAAGGCATCAACACTGATGCAATCCAAAGCTTCCCATCTCTCTCTTCCACTTCGCTGATGAACTTCAATGTCTTCCCTTCAATATCTTCCAACACTTCTAATATTTCTCCTTTATCACTTAGCTTAACAGCAGCAGCATGAGGCTTCCCCCCTGCAATTGATGAGTGCAACTGCTTGACGTTTAATCCAAGCTTCAGCATTGCCTTTCCCGCCCAAGGATTGGAAGAAATCCACTTTGCAAAAGGACTTCCCTTTGCATGCAGAGCTACCCAGAAATGCCCTTCTGAATTTCTTCTAACATTGTCTGGAAAACCAGGCACAACTGCGAAAGTGTTCACTTGACCAGCCTTGGGTCCATGAAGCCAAAGCTGCAAGATCCTGAAAGTAGTGGTTTCTGCTACCAGAAGAAATGAACCATCTTTGCTTAAAGCAACGCCATTGGGAAAAGCAAGGCCCCGCAATAAGACCGTTACTTCTTTTGTTGACTTGTTATATTTCATTAACCGGCCGCTCTTGTCTCCACTTAAGAGTACAAGCATGAATTGCCTGCAAACATAAGTGGCCCACATTTAGATTAAAGGATTAAATATGTTTTTAAGTATATGAAACATATGTCAATTTTCACCTTCAGGGAGGAAAAACTCAAGAACTTAAAAGTGAAAATCACCAAAAATTTAGGAACCAAAACTAGTAAAACTTGTTTTGGGCCTAAAAGTGAAAATCGATAAAAGTTCAAAAACTAAAAACATATTTAATCTTAGATTAAAAATTCTCTCCAAATAAGAGTTTTACATCCACCTTCTAGGAGTATGCTCTCAAAGACGTAAATAAGAAAAAGATTATCATGATGGAAACTAGAACAGAAAAAACATTATCTAGATAAGTTTAACACTGGTTGGTTTGATAGAAACTCAGGCAAAATACAATAGAGAGCGAAGAAATGTGAATGAGGAAATAAATTAGGCAGTTTGTTCAATAAGAAATGTATTAGAGGAGAAATTTACAAACGTGGATCCCATATCTATAAATTTCTCCATAAAAAAGCAGGAGAAATAGCAAAGAAATATTGATACACTTTTATTTTAACACTTTTCTCCCTCATAAGTCTCATCCATATTCATACGCTTTTAATACATTTGTCCCTAATAAGTCTCATCCACTCTCACATCCGTCTCTCATTCAAAATAACAAAGACTCTCATTCGAATGACAACACATTTTATTCAAATACATGGTTTCTTATTCGACTAAACCATCAATATCCCTACACAGATACTCAATATAGAGGGAAAAATCATCCTTATAGACTCGGACAATAACTTCAAACCGAAACCCTCAAATCTAAGCATACTGAAAGTTAATTAGATTTCACATGCTGCAGAACAACATTGTAGGCTTCATGTTCCTCACCAAAATCCTTGACAACCACACATGAGAAGCCAGTTACCTTACTAGCCTTTCCCTCAAAATCAATCTTGTTTTATTCAAATGGAAGGACATTTATTTGAATACATGATTTTCCGCTTTATTTGAATACATGAAATTTTATTCAAATGAGTTGCATGCTATCCAAATAAGGGGTTGTTTTATTCAAATAAACAACATTTTAATTTGAATAAAATCACTTCCAGGAAGTTGTTTTATTCGAACAAACATGTTTATTGGAATAAACAACAATTTCACTAGTACGTAACAAAAGGATAATATTGTTATTTTTATTAATTGTAATTTCTTTTCTCTCCATTCATTCAAACCAAACAACTTTATAATATTATTTATTTTCCATTTCTTACTTATTTCTCTAAAATAAACAACCTTACTTTCACTCTATTTTTTACCTATTTCTACTCACTTATTTCTCTATCTTCTATTTCTCTCCACTCTATCTCTCACCTATTTCTCTCCTCACAACCAAACACAGTGAAAGGGTAAAATGCAATTTTCTCAAATATTATTTGTTATTTTGTTTGATCTTTAAGAACAGAACAAGTGATTCTTAGTTTGTTAAGAATTTACCTCCATACTACAGGGTAGAGTGTAGACCATTCCAAACCATGATCTTAATAAGGCTATATTTTATTGTTCAATTTCATTTCATACACTGAAGTGCCAGGGAACAATCATAAGGACTATTAAGAAGATGCAGAGATAATTCCATTATAGAAAGGAAGACATGTGTTTGTGGTGAACTTACCTTCTCTGGAACATTGTGCTTGAATCAGTGAAGTAAATGACATCTTCATCTTCACTGATGTCCATGTCATTGGTGAAGTGCAAGGGTTGACCTTCAGCTTCTGTTACTACTTCAGTGGCCAAACCCCCTGTAGGTCCCACTACTTTTAGGCCTAGGTAGGCATCAGCAATGTACAGATCTCCACTTTTCTTATCAAATTTTAGTCCTAGAGGCCTCCCACAAATGTGCTCCAATTCTGGTGCAAATGGACGTACACAATCCGACCTTGAAAATCAAGCAACTAAACTCATTAAATTCATGAGAAAAATTAAAGCTATTTTAATAGCTGTAAGTTGAGTTAAACCTAGGGATCTTTGCTTAAACTGCCGTATAAACAAGCTAAAAAGTTACAAGTTAGAAGTGTAAAGATAGAAAAGTTATAAACTAACCGGTAGAATTGAAAATGTTTGATAAGATTAATTGAAATGACATAAAAGAATATATTTAGTTATTTGAGATAAAAAGAGATTTCAAATAAATTAATGAGGATAACTAAAAAACAAAAGAAACTTGTAGCTTATAAGTTAGGTTATTAAATTTTCATAAGCTAGTTAAAGTAACTTACGAAAATAAATTAAACGTTACTAAAATAAGTTTGTGTACCAAACAAATTTATTTTGATCAAACTAGTTTATAAGATCCTCTAATGTCTAGCCAAATACACTCCTAATGTCCTAGCATTTAAACAATTCTCAGCTATGCCCATCCTGAACACCTCTTCTGATAGAAAGTTAAGTATCCATGCTTGCATGCTCAAACAATGATACAACTATCTGGAACTAAAGACACAAAATGCACACATTTGCTTCTTAGTTTTTCACCTTCCCTCCAGCCTATTAGAATAAGCCCTTACACCAACTACGATACAAGACCCAGCAGGCAGAATTTCGCTCAAAGCATATAAAAGATAGACATAATCATCAGTGTGCTAGAGCAAATCTCCAGTCTTCCAATATTGAGAATCAAAAGTTTTGCACAACAAATAATGCCGCCAACGGAAAAAGCTATTCTCAGTGAAGTGAGCCTTTCAGTTCAAATTATGTTGTTGTTGCCACAACACACAGTGCGCTTCACACTTAACGACCTGGCCCCAATTCTTTGTTAACTAAATAATAATTGATGCTGTGAATGGATTATGGACCTTCCTTCAAGGGAATAATAATCAGCTCAGAACATTGGTCCCCACTTTTGGATTTAGCATAACATAAACGCCACAGCAACCAGACATTAAAATATTCATGGCATGCGAAACAATAAGCAAGTAGTAGTAGTCAATACACATCAATAATAACTATAAAAAAAAAAAAAACAATCCTCACGCTTCACCCCACCAACTCAACCCAACCACCAAAGATTAGGTATCCAAACATCACAGGTCAGCCTCAAGAGGGAAAAAAAAAAAAAAAGAGAAAGTTTCATCCTCAAAAATCAATAAACCCCCACGAACTATTGACCCAATTAAACTCTCAAGAAGACAATCACATGTATCTCGAAAAAGACGATAAGAAAACGTAAGCACCAAAAGGGGCAACAGTAGCAATATTACTGTATCAGTAGTAACAATAGTATAATTTAATTACCTATTGGAAGTGGTGACAGCAAATTGAGTCCAACCTCGGTCCTCCCCCTCCCACTTGAGAATCCGGCCGTCGGCGACGCCGGTGTAGGGCCCTCCGCCTTGAGCGTCGAAGACGAGACTCTCCGGGCCGAGGGCTCCGGTGACATGGAGGATCTGAGCTGCGTGGAGGTGATCCTTGGATAGAGGAAGATGAGGCGGAGAAAAGAGGGTTTGCGGGTTGAAGAAAGCGAAGAGTGCAAGCAAGGTTGCAGCAGTAATGAGCCCTGACTTCATAGTGTGTTGAATGGAAGAGTTTCTTTGTCCCTCAAGAGTCCAGAGTTTAACATGTACTACCCGGGATATTCAGAAAATAATATTTAAACAACTATTCTTTTTTCTTAAAATAAATATAAAGTGTTTTTATTTATGTAAAAATAAAAACAACTTAGGTTATCATTTAACCATATCTACCTCCATCATACAATTAACTATTCTTTTTTCTTAAAATAAATATAAAGTGTTTTTATTTATGTTCATCTCATATTATGTAAGAGTAATTTTAAGAACTTTTTTCTGATGAAAATTTTTTGAAGAATTTTTTTTATTTTTTTTATCTAATTTAATTTTTATTTATATAATTAATTATGAATTTAATTTTAATACTTTTAAAATAAATTATCAATAAAAAAAAATTGTGTTACAATATAAATTATTTATGATATTGATAAGAAATATTTACCGTCAAAAGTAATAATTAATTCCCATCAAATACCGTGAATACACATAAAATATATATTTTTCTTCCAACATTGTCTATTATAAATTTAAAATATGTATAAAGGTGTATTTATATAAATTTTAATTATGACTTACATATTTAAAACATAATATAATATATATATATATATATATATATATATATATATATTATAATATATTATACTCTATATATATATATTTCATTATAAATTTTAATCACATAAAATAAATATTTAGTTTATATATTGTACAAATTAAAATACTAGTTCGATAATATTTTTAGATATTATTATTCAATAGTAGTGCTTTTAGGGACTATTATTTGATAGCAGTGTTTTTAGATGTTAAAATAAATTATCAGTAATTAAAAATAATCTCATGTGACAATAAAAATTATTTATCTTGAATTTAAAATACAATTTATATTTAAAATATTTATTAATCAAAATTTTAATATAATTTATATATTTAAATATAATACTTGTATATATATATATATATATATATATATATTTTTAATCATATAATAAACGTTTAACACGTGAAATAGATAAATTAAAATACTGATTTTATAAATTTGATAACTTGAGAATAAAAATAATTAAATTTTTATTATTTTGTAATTTTATATTTTTATCATTTTAAAGCTCACTTGATTTTAAATGTTGGGTTACTTAAATTTCAAATGTTGAATTTTTTGACTATTTTTATTTTATATTATATTAATATTTTTCTATACTTGAATTTTATTTACACTTTTTAAATTGTAGATTTTTATAATTTTTGGTCAGTGAAAGCTATGTCTTACCTAAATTAGTATTTGATTATCGATTTTAAGATACTACATGAATCATATCTATTAAAATAAAATTATTTTTAAATTTTAAATTAAAATAATATGTTTTTATGTATTAAAAAAAATAAAAAAAAATCATTTTTTCTTAAAAAAAAAATCCAAATGGAACTATTCCATTGTTAATCAATTTGATTTTACTAAGATTACATTTTCTATTATAAATCTGTTTCAACTAAAATTGATTGATATTAACTTTAGTTTATCTTAAATTCAAATCAAAACACTCTTAATTTGAATGTGTGCCTATATGTCTTTTTGTGTGTTATTTTAAAATACTTTTTTTTTTCCAATTTTCTTTGATGAAAAAAATAATTGAAAAGAAACATTTTTTCCAATTATTTATGTGACACGTATGAGATAAAAATGTAAAATTTTAGTTAAAATTTTGTATTTATAAATAGTTTTTAAGAAATCTTTAAATTTGCGTCACATACACATGCATCTTTCATAATTTAGGAGGAACTTAATACTTTGGTTGTAATTGGAATTAAAAATAAATAATGAATTAAAGAATATTTTTGTGATAATATTCATTGGTATATTTTGTAAAGCTTTGGCTTGTTTTAAAATATTCCCTTAACTACACAATGATGTAATTATTGAGATTCGGATTAATAATCACTTCTTTGCTACACATTTCATATTTGGGAAGAGCAAAAGTATACAGAAATTTTTTATAGGGAAAAACGAAATTAGACTATTTTAGAGTGATGAAAACATATTTAACCAAACAAAATTTAAATGATTTTCATGTTTTTAAGTTATTAAATATATTTTTAACATTACTTTTTATATTATATTAAGCATGTTAATAAAAAAATTATAGAAAGATTATTACATTAATAATTTTCTATTTCTAGCGCATACGAGTAATATGATTGAAACTTGAATCATTGTTGTAAAAAAAAAAAAAAATAATAATAATAATAATAATAATGCTTTTTAGCCTTTATATCCCAGTTTCAAAAAAAAAAAAAAAAAAAAAAAAAAAAAAAAAAAAAAACCTTTATAACTCCAGTATAATTGCCGTAACAAGGTCCAAATAGAAGTTTACTATTTAGATGGTCCTTATACAAACCCAAGCCCAGATGCCTGGTGCTCAAATTAATGTCAATCATCCATTCAAAGCCCATCCTTCAACCCATCAATTATTTAGTTGAATTTTGGAGAAATGATTATTTATTTATTAATTTTTAATGATTTTTTAATTATTAAATTATTTTTTTGTATTAATACTAAATTGGTACCAATATTCTAAAAATTGAGGAATGAAATTAGGAAGAGAAGAAAAACTATAAGTAAAACAGAAAAATTATGTCTTATTTTGTTTGAGATAAGAAAAAAAAGTGGGAGAAAATAGAAGAGAAATTGTTTTCTTTGGTGGTATAGAAAATTGAAAAATATAAAACCTTATAATATAAGAATTCCAATGTTCAATGATTGTTACTTTTTTTTGTCAGTTTTAAAAAAAAAACATTTCTATTTCTTATTGTTTTGATAAATGACTAGAAATGCTTTTTTTTTTTTGTGAAACTGTAAAATGCTTTTAGTTGTTGATAAATAATTATAAAATGCCATATATTTTATTTCATTATATTTTTAGCTTTTAAATTTTAAAGAAGAAATACTAAACTTACTCCGAATTGGATAAAAAAAAACTTCTTATTTTCTCCATTTTCTTCTATAATTCCCCCTCCCCTCCTTCCCTTTTTTTTTCTAATAACTTTCTTTCTTTTATGTTTTGTTGTGTGTTAAAAAAAAAAAAAAAGAAGAAGAAGAAGAAGAAGAAGCACGTGAATCAATAAGGCATTTGCTTTTACCTCAAAGAAAACGTGTAAAGTGTGGAAAAGACAATTAAGCGCTTGATAACACAATATACTAGTTAAAAAAGCATTGTTTTTTTTTAATTCTCTAATAAAGCAGGCAGAAATAAGCAAATATATTATTGTAAGATAAGTTAAATCATATGTACATTAAATTAGTTGCATTGATGGTTAGTTTTAGGATATTGCATGGATATTTGTATGAAAAAAAATTAATTGCATTGTCAGTTGATTGAGCTCAAACAAAATAACCTAAAGAAAAAGAAGAGAAAAAAAACCTACATACTAGAATTGGCTTAATAGAGAGAGTCAAGTAGTTTGTATGAAATTACAAGTTTAAATTTTATGGTCATCATCATTGTAAAAAAATATTAAGTGAGAGATTATGTTATAATATTTTATTATAGAAACATAATTATTAATCAAGAAAAATATTTATTTGAAATAAAAACAAACTTGCTTTTTTATTTTTTCAATCTCTCGTTATTATACCTTTTCAGTTTCTTTTATAAAGAGTCTGAAGATATTTCTTTTCAACACTACATGTATCTTTTATTAAAGATAATCCTATATTCCTATATGAATTAGATAGAATATATTACTATTCAAGTGATTCCAAAATGAAAGAAACAAAAATATTTGAGCCCTGAAACTATGCCCCTTTGGCATTCCAGAGGGCAACCCTAACAGTCACATTGCCCCCAACAAGTCTCCTTAATAACAGGGTGTATAGGCAGGTGGGTGGGTGATTATTAATATTATAGAGTTAGTTAACCTTTTTGAGTATTGTTTGATATCAATATATTATATTATGCTAAAACAAAATTAATCATATACATGATCCCTAAAGTACTCCGAAAATCCATAAATATAAAGCTAAAGTAGATACGGTACATGAACCGCAAGTTTATGAGAATTTTTTTTTATAATTCATCTAGGTTGGAAGTTGGAAGGAAGTAATGTGCTCAAAAGCCAATTAAGTAACCTAAATTTGTCAGTCTTCTTTGCGTGTTAAAGTGAAAAGTATGTCGTTTGAAAAATAAATAGCTATTGAATTAAAGTTCATTTACAATCTATGTAAAGCATTTCCACTGTCAATGAATTAAAACTATATTTTCTCAAATGAACAAAAGTCTCCAAAGGTAAGTCTTGTGTGAAAGCTAATTAAAGGACTTTTGACTTGTAAAGAGAAGAAAAGACCAAATATTAGACTAAATACTACTTTAAATAACATTTAATTTAACTCTTTTTAGACTTTTTCTTTAAAAAGGAAAAGGTTGAGTGTAATATAATTTTATTTTTTTGATAAATATAAATCTGAAAAGTAGGACATTTATAAAAACTAATTAAAGAAACCTTAGGAAAGAGGCATGTAATATCGTTAAGCACTACGTTAATAATACAAAATCCTAAGAGTTTTAAACGTTGTAATTTGTCTTAAATATTTGTATATTGTAATTTTTTTCACCAATTATTATTTATTCTGTAAAAAGAATTTTGAGCATTAATATGGAAGAGAATAGGACAAGTCAACTAAGTTTGACTTTGAATATATAAATATGAGATGTTCAACTTGTTATTTATTATAATTTTTTATGGATATGTGATATCGTCTATTAATATATTTAAAAAGTATGTTTTATAGTATTAATAGAGTTAAATAAGAGAAGTGTAACACTGTTGATTTTATGGTTGTTTCATTGATTTTATGCATTTTTGTTGTTTAGATAACAATTGTTGTTGAGAACTTTGAGTTAAGGGACCCTAAAAGTAATTTGGTCTCTGGATAGCTTAACTAAAAACAAGTGGAATCAACTTAGGAAGATATAAAAGAATTTTCTAAAGTTTGAGTATCATAACTTAAATTTTTAAGGATCTTAGAAAGAGGTTAGGGAGAGTTTTTTAAGAGCCCCAACTTCTCCTTCCATTCTTATAGTGTTTTTTTCCCTCTTCTTGTAGTTGATTGAGGTGTGGTAACTTTGATTTTGAACTTATGGAGTTGAGAATCAAAGCTTGTGGAGCCTTGTGATTGAATTTGGTTGTTGCATGTTAATTTCGTTGCCTTAAACACTATAATCTTGGTTGGGATTGTCTGAATCCATCAAGTGATGAATTGTGGGCTTTGAGTTCTCTTGAAGAAGTATGAGATGAACTGTTGAATTTCTATTTTTTTATGAATGGATGTTGTTTTAGTTGGTAGAAATGAGTTCCCTATGTTGCCTAAATGTTATATGTTACAATGCATGTTGTTGGGTTGCTGATTTTCTAGTGTTTTAAGCCAAAATCGTGTTTTGCATAAACGCATAATTGATGTCGCGTCAAACACTCCTTCATGTCATCTGTAACGACCTGGCTGGTCACTACACTCACAATCACAGCACACCGGAAACACTAGACAGAATAGAACGAGTATATAAATATAGGATCTAGAATATAAATATATACAATGTCCCAATCCGGCTAGAGTTAGAGTGTACAAACAAAATACAACCAAAGTAGCCAGATAGTGGCCCAACAACAAGACATCAGCCAAATAGGACTCCTCCCTTTGCCAACTGCAGACTTGCCACTATCACCAGTCTAACCCTGCTCTGCTCCCATACATAATATGATCATCGTAGTCCAAACCACATGGAAACAACAAAGGGTAAGCTAGTGAAAAGAAATAACATACATATATATAAATATATGAATAGTAAATAACTACTCCTATCAACACATCAAATCAACTCATCAATCAACTTAACAAAATCAGTTTAAAATCCCACAACATTCAGCAATAACAGCACACATCTCACATCATGAGTATACAACTCATCGATTTTACAGCATAATCAGCAATAAGCACACAATGCGTCGTCATGCATATCAACTCGGAGATCTCCTACAACAACTCAGCCTTTCGGCCTACAACACCTTAGCCTTTCGGCCTACAACACCTCAGTCTTTCGGCCTACAACACCTCAGCCTTTCGGCCTACAACACCTCAGCCTTTCGGCCTACAACATCCAAAATCAACACACAGTACAACATAATTGTACAGCTCAACATATCAACTTACAATAATGTACAACTAATACAACTCAACATATCAACTTACAACAATATACAAATGATACAGCTCAACATCAACAAGCAGTGTTAACCACAAGTCATCCCATTATAATCAACAACTTCGACTTAAACTCAACATAAACAACCTATGACATTCATTAGTGAAATCACATCTTCGCGCCCGGCACAATCGTGGTTGCACCCAGCGCGGTACAACCAGAGAGCACCAGGGGGGCCAACGCGCCCAGCGCAAGCACGCCCGCGCCCAGCGGGACCCACCCAGAGAGCCCAAGGCTCACTCGCGCCTGGCGCAATACCAATTGCGCCCAGCGCCCACAAGACAGAGACTCCCAAAGAGTCTCACGCACAGCGCGACAAAGGCCACGCTCAGCGCAGCACATCAATATCAGCATCCAGCACAGCTAGGTAGTATACAACACATCTTACTACTCACAACTCAGTTCAACAATCTATAGTACAACAATATTTTAATTCAACCTGAAAATCATTCATGACAGCCCAGCTCAGCACGGCAATATATATATATATCTATTACAGCATAGCATTACATCATTAACAGCATATACAACATACAACATATTCTACGCATATTCAACTCATCCACCTTGTTTACAACTCATCTATCTTGTCAAATTCCCCATCCAAACAACACCAATCAACCTAAGCACTTAAAACAACTTTCAACTTAACCAAATCACTAAATGTGAAATGGCAACCTACACAGAAAACAGCGTATTAGGAGTTATACTACTCCTACCATACTCATCTCTATCTCATATGAAAGATAAGAAGATTTCCTACAACTCTCATGAAGACACCAAGTCCTAATTCCTTCATCTACCATGTTAAAAATGATAAAAACCGCAACAGCTATAACAAAGTTAGCAGCTCGACCCCTCTTCACTAAAACAGCCATATCTAGTGTTCTAAAACTCCTTTTTGAGTGATTCCAGCGCCAATGGAAAGATAACATCCAAGGCTACAACTTTCATGAAGACTATAAAGTCAAATTCTGAAAATCAGACGCGCCCGGCGCATTAAAAGAGCGCCTGGCGCAATTCTCAACCAGAGAGACCTACAGAGGTCTATTGCGCCCGGCGTGTTCTCCCCACGCACGGCGCGATTCACCCAGGGATTTCCCATTTCAAATCATGCCCGACGCGAAGAACTGCGCCCGGCGCAAATTCAAACTGGAACCCTTACCTACTTCGAAAATTTCATCAAAACCTGCGAAAAACACCAGGAAACCAACATGCAAACCATCCAAAAGCCAGCATTTTCATCAAACATCAAGAAAAACACTTCATTTCCAACATGCAACCATCAACAAGTGAAATCCCCAAGATTTGTACCCGAACCCCGGAAACCCGAAACGAAATTTTTTCTTCAATCACAGCCAAGAATCAACCTCTTCAACAACTATTGAGTTACTTGAACTCCATGACATCCAAAAACAGCGAAGAAAGCTAGCTTCCCTTACCTCGGTTCAACGGCTCCGAGCTTCGGAAAGGAGAACAAAAGAGAGAACGAAAATGGCTTGAACGAATGAGAAGGGGAAGGAAGAAATCCGCACACCCCAGCTAGCACTCCACCTACTCAGCACCTAAGCTCACCCAAGCAGGAAGAATCAGCAAATGAGTAGGAAGAGTTTGAGGGAGAATGATAGGGGAAGAGGAGGAAAAAAAATAAGAACGGGTCTCACATCATCAGGCATGGTTCAAGCTAAGGTAATTTGTCTTACTCATGTCGAGTGAATGACCAATGGCACCGAACGTGAGGAGAGAGAATCAACTCGGGTTGAACTGATGTCAAACAAGGTTTAAATCATCTTCAGTAAGCATGAGGTCGGGCATGAACTATTGTCACATCAGGCTTGAGGATCTAGGAATCATGGCCAAACACATGCTAAGTGCGGGTTGAATGACATGGGGTATATTGGTGAGACAAGGAGCCCTTTATCTCAATGGTGTCGGGCATCTTGTGAGTGATGTCGAACATAAGATGCATGTTGAAAACTTGTTTAAAGTTGTTTCATAATTGGTTGATGATAAATGAGTTGTATGGATGATGATACAAGTTTATGCTATGCATACGTTGTACGTTGATACATGATTTTTGATGTATGATTATTAGTTGTAAGGTGAATGTTGGACGACAATGATATGTAGATATGTTGGTTAAGTTGCAAGTGAGTACACTAAGTGATCATATTTATGTTGTAAGATTGTAAGTTGTCATCAGTTCATAAAGTTGTACATTGTTTAAGTTGTTGAGCTAAATGTTGTTATTGTCAATAAAAGTTGTTCATGTTGTCAAGTTGTACATTGTTTAAGTTGTTAAGTTGATAAGTTATAGACATGTGGGTTAAATAAAAACTAGAAGGGAGTAAAATTGTTTTTGAAAGTTAAATATCTCATTATCCGAATATATGATGTGGTGTTCCGAGAGCCTAATTGAATCCTTCAGTAGATAAGTTGCCCTTTGAATGGATAAGTTGTTTTCAGTTGACCCTAACAATGTTAACAAACTTACGATTAGAACATTGACATTAGAAGGAGAGGGTCTAGACTACTTTTGTCCCTCAGCCTCGACTGAGAGCTTGTTTCAATATGTCTAAAAGTCTCACGTCACTTAAGAATCAAGACCAAAGATAATTTATAAACGCTCTTTTTAAGAACAAAATCATGACGGATCAACGAGCGCCAAAACAAATAATACCTCACACACGCTGATCTTAATGATGCTAGTGGACTCATGGTCAAAACATATTTAAATATATTTTTAGTGCCTCAAATTAAAATAAATTTATTTTTAGTCCATCAAACTTAAAATTGGTCATTTTAATACTATAGTTTTAAAAAATATTGTTTTAATCTTTAAACTCAAAATTTATTAGAAAATATGTCAAATATTATTACATAAAATATGTATATTACAATCTTATCAGTGAAAATATCACATTAAACTTAACTGATATTATATAATTATTTCAATTTATTACTTTTAAATATGTTATTAATGATATAATAAACTATATTATGGACTAAAAACATATTTAAAACTTTAATTTTCGTCAAAGGCATCCATCTGCCTTCATCATCAACAGCTTTCATAGTTTTGTTATCAAATCTTGGAATATCTCCTTTTAATATGACTAAAGAGAAGCCAATCAATGTGAGAATCTTCCAATCTTCAAGTTAGAAGCTGTTTATTTTTACGACAGCTGCCCACAACACTTTAGTTCGTTGATGTAGCTGATGTTATGACATTCTGTTTGATAGATATTAGATTTGTCTTGTTTGTTTTAGTTTTTCTGTATGATAAAGAAAAGGAGCAATATAGATTATTTGAATTAAAAAATATTTACATATTATTTGCCTTACAGTACATATTGTTTAAACTTGTTTTAAAGAGCCCAAAACGGATTGAATTTAATATAATATATTCACTATTTTATAACATTATCAAATTGTTAGGAGTGTAAAAAAAATTCATGTCTATTCAACCTATATTATAAAGTTCTATCTATTTTGAGAGAAAAAAAAAATTTAACTCACCTTACAAAAATAGTTCAGTTAACCAACTTATTTTACAAAAGATCAATTTAATTTTTTTTGAAAAAATCAATCATACATGAATACAAGGTGAATAACTTAATTGATCCAATTTTAAAAATCTTAAAAAATTTATCTGACCCACTTTATAAAGAAAAAAATAAATTAGTTAATCAATCTATGACCGATTCAATTTAGTTTAATTTTTTTTAATTCAATTCATGAACAATCCTACAAAATTATGTCTAACAAGAAATTAAATAAGAAAAATTATACTAATAAGTTATTGGTTCAACTAAAATTAGACTAGGATCTTTATTTTTTCATTTTTTATAAATCAATCCACTGACTCACCTTTTAAGTGAAATGGATAATGGTTTGCAACCTATTGTCACAGGGCATGGTCAGCCTACCCAACCCTACTTTTGGCTAGCTTGTAGTGGTAGTAAAGTGAGACAAAATAGGGTGTATTGGCTTGTAATGCATTGTTTCTCAAGATGCAAATATGAAGTTTTCGTTGAGGATCATCTGGGTCGAAATCTGGAATTGAGATTGTGTTTTTATGAGGAAGCGATATTGTAGTCTAATTTCTTATGATTTGTTGAAAATGATAATCAGTGTATTTCATAGATAACTTTTTTTTTATTCGTTAAAACAGTTGAAAGCAGGAAAATAATTTATGGAAACACACGAAATCAACAAGTTTTTATTTAGCATAATTAGTCTTAGCGTTTTTATTTATTTATTTTGTGATGAAAGAAAGAGTATTTTGAATGTGATTTATCATCATATATTTATTTATTCTGGTTATTTAATCTGAACTAAAGAATTTGAATTTATAAGATCCTTTTTTATCTGGATGGTACTATATGAATTTCTCCCATAATTGAGTTATATATGAATGTTGGTTGTACAAGTACATCTGCCGAAACAGGAACAGTGGAACTTAGTACTTAAAATAAAGAACACGAAGTCCCAATCCCAACGCACAATGGAATGGATGTTACTGTAACTGTGACTCTGCTGCTTTTCCAAAAGCACCGTCTGATTCGCGACATTTTCTTGTCAAATGTTAATTTTTATTACTTTTCCATTTTATATTTCATATATCAAATTAATATTTTCATATCACCGTTTCATAGTCAACATTACTAAATTTAATTAATTAGACGTTAACTAGATCATCAACTACCATATGCTCTAATAAACTACTTTGTTTTTATAGAGAATCTTCCATCTGTTGAAGCTAATTTTAAATGATGAAGCATTCAAACTAAATTTGCGAACACTACTAAACACGAAATTTATATTTGCAAGGTTGAACAATATTTATATTTTGACAAATCAATATTTATAGAGAATGGATGGGGCATATTTAAACTGAAATTTATTCACACAACTGTGATTATTATTGATCCCAGTTGCATACAACTGATCATTCTCTCAAAGCTTATCAATTTTTTTTTTAAATCTATATATTAGACTGTGTATAATCTAGCTACTTTTTGAAGAAAAAAAAGTGTTAAAATAAATAAATAAAATCTCTTGTTGCCCAGAAAATAGCAAGTGTAAAATTGTCTTTTTCGCTCTTAATAGCGAACTTGAATTGAGCTTCAGAAAAGGGGTAAACATTTTTTTTTCCATTTTATTGTATTGTACAATGTTCAATAATTATATCCATCATACTTATAAGTTTTCTAACAACTTTTTCGGGATAATTATGTCAAAATAATTTTATTAATTCTTCTAATCACACGCCAGAAGAAGACAACGAAAAGGAGGGGAAAAAAGGATCACTTAAAACAGAAATGAACTTTAAGCCAGAAACAAAGGAAAGAAATAAAGAAGAAAAAAAAAACATTTATTATATATGCTCCTCTCTCACTTTGACATAGTATATAACAATATTTTACACATGATGCCTCGTGGTCCAAAACTAACTAGTGGCATACAAAGGGTAATCGAATCCCTCTTTTATGCTATAATCTGCCTAATAGTGATGTATAACTAACTATATATCTTGTGATTTCCTAATTTGCATTAACCTTATAGTTGAAATGTATTTTAGGTATCTTGGGGTTTGGAACAGTATGTGCATGATGATATGTCCATGATACTTTAGACCTAATTTTATGTGCAATAATATATAATTTAATATTGAATCCATGTGTTCCAATCTTTGGATTGAGTATGTTTTTTATTTTCTCTAAAAGATCTCAAAGTACAATCGGATCTCTTAAACTATTCAATTATTAGGCTGGACCATTCAATGTATCCGACTTTAAACAAATTTAACTATTCCATTAAAATCGTTAACTTAATCTCATCATACTATAATTGGTTACACCAGCTCAAATATCATTAAATACCGACCTAAATATTTTATCTATTAATTCATATGTTTATTAAATTTTCAAGCTCTTCAGATCTTTAACATTGTTTATATATGGCTCTTATATAACGCCACATGAATAAAAAATTATAAACAATTTTTTATATAAAAAATTATAAGCACATGTTTGCTTGGCATCGTTGTATATCATAACATCGTGGCAATGATGTCGCAAATACGATCATAGTTAATATTAGTTATATACGTTAACTGTTATAGTTAAATGAGGTGAATTAAGTTTTTTAATCCAGTCTATATATTATAATTAACACAACACATCT